GTATGTAAGTAAGTTTTCTCTTAAGCATTTGATAAAAGATAATTTCTAATTTATTAATTATATGTAATAGACTGGACCTCCTCATTTAACTTTAATTCACAAGAAAACGCTAAAGATGCCTGATGATGTCTTATGTGTTCGATATAGCTCTAATCAGAAATTGATTGCCATACATTACTAGACGCGACTGTCAAAGTATTTTATTACGATACCTTAAAATTTTACTTGTTTTTATATGGCCATAAAGTAACTTGATAATTATTTAACATAAATAATCATTATTATTACTATTATTCTATTTAATCTAATCATTTAAATCTTTATTGTAGTTACCTGTATTATCAATAGATATATCTTCGGATAATAGTAACTGGTTCAGCTGACAAAAATATTAAAATATGGGGTCTCGATTTTGGAGATTGTCATAAATCAATATTCGCACATCAAGACAGGGATGGTAAATGACCTGGTCATTTGATCAAAATTTAAATGACCTCTAGTCATCAAATAATGACCAGATCATTTGGGTCATTAGGTCATTTGGGTCACTTACATATGAAGTAATTTTATTGGTCAGATATCTAATATAAAAAATTATCAAACTATATCGATATTATTTCACTATCGATAATCGTAGCTACATATAAAAGTCAAAATTTTACTAAGCTAATCGATAATTTCGTTTTAGGTAAAGTTGTTCAAAGGAATAAATTGCATATAATCTGAAAATTTTGTATAATTTTAATAACTTTTAATTAAGTCATTTTCATGTTTTACGTTTACACGAAAAAAATTTAAATTTTTTCGTATAAACGTAAAACATGAAATTGACTTAATAAAAAGTTATTAAAATTATACGAAATTTTCAGATTATATGCAATTTGTTCCTTTGAACAACTTTACCTAAGACGAAATTATCGGTTAGCTTAGTAAGTTTTTGACTTTTATATGTAGCTATTATTATCGGTCATATTTTATAAAAATTAATTTTGTCTAAAAATTAATTTTGATTGGCTAAACAGCATTAGATTATCAATTAACAGAAGTTAAATGACCTTCTTAGGTCATTTGTACTTTGAAATGACCAATGACTAGTCATTTGTCATTTGAGTCATTTGGGTCATTTCAAGTCATTTACCATCCCTGCATCAAGACAGTATCACTTGTTTTTCATTTTGTCCAGAGTACACATTATATTTTCGCAGCGAGCAAAGATAGGTTGGTAAAATATTGGGATGGTGATAAGGTTGGTTGTTATTATAATTTCTCTAATTTTCATTAGTCTTTAATCATATTCAATTTTAATTATACGATTCTTTAATTTGAAAATATTACGAAACTTGAATGACATCATCGAGAAGTATGGGCATTAGCAATAAGTAAACGAGGAGATTTACTTATTTCTGGTTCACATGATAGATAAATTAGAGTGTGAGAACAAACTGATGAACAGGTAATTGACAGTTAAATGGGTTTATAATTAATTAATTATTGATAATGTAATTGCTTCTGCTTTTTTTGAAGAAGAACGTGAGAAAGAGTTAGAGTAACTATATGATTCAACCTTAACAACATCAATGGAAAAAGCGACACTTGAAGATAACGTAGAGTCAACTTCAGCTGAAAACAAACTATGGAAACACTAAAAGCTGGATAGCGTATTATAGAAGCATTGGATATCGCTGACAATAATGCTACAGCTTAGGAAACCTATTCTAAGGTTAACTTTAATTATTTAAATAAAACTTTTGAGACACAAAACTAATTTAATTTTTTTTTTACACAGCTTAAAGAGCGGAGACAGGATCCTGGGCCACCACCAAAGTCCAATCCTATTCTTGTTGCGCTTGGAAATCTGACTGGAGACCAATATGTTATCAGAACTATTGAAAAAATAAGGTCTTCAGAATTAGAAAGAAGCATTATTGATTTTGCCATTTGCTAAAGTTATTTCTTTATTCCAATATTTGGACTTGTGGGCTAAAAAGGTAACTTAACA